CCTTCCAACCCCACCAGTCTGTGATTCTGCCTCATCCCTCCTTCAGGCTTTTATCCGCAGCGATCAGAGCCTGGTGCACACAGGTGACCAGTGGTCTCTAAAGCGAGTGAAGCACTGCTGTGATCAGGGACCACATCGAGCCTTTGTGAGAAACACCGATGAACTGAGCGGACACTCAGCAGCAGAGCCTGTCTCCAGCTTATCCCAACATAAAAACCAGGACACACTGACGGGGAGCAAGGCAAACGTGGGCAGAGACAAGCTGGTGGCATTCCAGCTCATAACAGTCACATTTGGCGACGGCATCTTTTTTTTTTCTTTATTTTGTTTGGTTTTACTTTGTTCCTTTCAAAATGTTCTTTATTGATTTTCTCAGCCGCTTTATATTTTGTATTTCATGTTCTGAGCTCCTCACTGACACTTCCATGTAAAAGTTTCAGGACAAATTCTGCTTCAGAGCTGTGAGGCATCTGCGTGAGCTGAAATCAACACCATTACTCTGCACACACACATCTCTAGAACACCGCCCTTTATTTCACAATGTCTCTCTCACCTGTACAGAAGGAAGCATCGGACATTTCTTGGTACCTCACATTTAATTAATCAGATCTCATCACAACAGATGGACTCAAAGTATTAGAGACGCTGGGCCAATTAGCAGATTAAAGGTTTCCGTATCAAATACATCTGTGCTATACCGATGCAATTTTTAAACAGAGAAAATGGGAAGTAATTCAAAATATCTTTACTTCTCTTAGCCATGACCTAGGGGCCTAAGTCCCATCTTCCAATTATTTTAAATTTTCTCTTTTTTGCCACACAGGCCATGACCCAGCAGAACATGCTTTATCTGAAGATTCTAAATAAATGCTGTGAAGTTGTACCCTGGGGCAGGTAAGTGCCCTTTGGAATCAAGACCAGAGTCTTTAACTCCCAAATGAACACGCAATTTCCAGCAGCAGAAGTGAGTTCGTGAATTCAGTTAATAAGGAAGAATTTTATCTTTCCAAGTGTTTTGGGATATTCCATGCAAAGTACTGAAGCGACAATGACTTGACCACTGATTTTGCAGCTGTGCTCAGCAAACCTCTGTGCCCAAGGGACAGATCACTGCTGTACCCTACCAGAAAACCCCCAATTTCCACCAGTGAGAATCAACGTGCAAAACTGCATCCTTCCCTTCCCGTGAAACCCAAACAGGTCGGCTCCAGGATACATGAAGTTTGATGAACACTCCAGCTTTGGGCAGTGACCAACTCTAGTGCTGATGACAGAAAAATAAATAAATAGATTTGATGTCCCTACAGTGAAGAAAGTCTCTTCTTGCCCCATGGGCAGTGTGGTGGCACAGAAGACAACCTTCCAAAGACAACAGCTGTACTCCCCGTCTCTCAGCTGAGGCCACTGATGCATTTGTAACAGAAAATACTGTCCATGTTCCCGTCTGCTTGATAGCTGCTGTGCTCTTCTCACGGGTGGCTGCGCTTCAGTGGAGCATAAAAGCATCTCCATCCTTCCTCAGTGCAACGTGCAAGGCTTCACGTAAGATGCTTTGAGATCCTCAGCTGGCAGGAACGATTAGTCTGATTATCTGCCATAGCACCCTGACTGCCCCAAAACGCCCCGCACGCTCTCTGTGTGGAATGGCAGCGTGTTAGAAGGTGAGTTACAACACGTGGGTGTTACTGGGTCCCTCAGGAGGAAGGTTGGGGGTGAAAGACCAAGACAACCATAAACAGACATACATATATAATATGTACAGTGGCCATAGATGCATGTGCACCATGAAGGAAATAATCAAATTTTAGATTGCAGAAAATGATCAAATTCCAATATTTTTTAGTGCCAGGTGTCTGCCTAACTTGCTAGTAAAAAGAGAAGGAAATGTTCAAATGTGGGTTGAGTGAAGTGGTGCAGCTGTCAGACGTGGTATTATTTCTTCACTCTATTTCAGCCAAGAAATGCAGAAGTATTCTTAAATTTTGCACTACATGCTGTGGACAGAAAATTATCTCAGTAGCATTTGGTTGGTTTTGTACCTTTTCTCTCACTCTTCAGCTTTTTCTAATAGACTCACCAGTATCAAAACACAGAGCTGAAGTACAGGCGTGAATTTAGTAAGCAGAAAATCCCAAACCTCTCTGTAGGGATTACATGATTCAGGCTTTCAGAGCAGACAGATAAGGTGGTGTAAGGAAAGCCCTGAACCTACCTAAATGCTCTCCATGTGGTTTTCAGTCCGTGGTCTGTGGATTTTTACAAGCCTGTGGAGTACTGCTAAGATATGTCCAAAAAGTATCTAAGAAAATTAAGCCCATTACCGCTAAGCTTAAATTTACCCTGGAGGAGGCTGAACCTCTGTAAGAAAACTATTGGGGGGTCCACAAGTTGTTAGAAGTTGAAAACCATTGCTCTGGTTACCAAATCTGACTGCCAGTGAGTCTGCACAGTGATTTGATTCAAAATATTTACTCCCGAAATTCAAGGTATGTAGCGATGTGAAAAAGGGAACTAACAGAGGAGGCTGCAGGCGGGTAATAACCAGACGGCCCATACAGAGTATGAAAGGACTCCCTGGTATTCCAGCTGCAAGCACCTACAAACACTACATTAGGCTGTATTAATTACTGGTGTAGACAAGACACAAAGAATTAATTTGGAAAGCCATGGAGATGAAGAGGACAGCGTCATCATCAACGTTTTCTCCCTTTGCTAACGTTCCTGCTCGCTAAAATTAAGATGCCGACTAGAACTGGGCTTTCAAAAAGACTGAAATTATTAGCAAGACTCTGTCAAAAGAGAAGTGTTCCCTGTGTTCCTGTAACGAGGACTGGGCTGCTTGCAATTCAAATAATTTAAAAATAAGAGAAAAAAATTAGAGAGCTGTGTATTGGTGCTGCTAACCCCTCTGGTGTCATCCTGGGTGGGGAATGCAGAGAGTCACTCAGCAGCAGGTATGTCAGGCTCCCGTCCTGGGGATGGAGAAGGGGCCATTTCGGAACATGCACGTCACTCGGGTGGATTTGTCTAAAGCCTTGTTCAGCAAACAGAGCATCTCGGAGGTGCTACAATATTGTGGCTCCATCAGCATCCATGCTCCTGGGGTCCTTCAGGCCAATGATGAAACTGTTGGTTCTCCTGGCCCCATGAACTAAGGAGACCACTTTGACTTTATCCACTTGATGGCCACTGGCTACCAGGAATTCAATATCTTCTTCAGGAAACTCACCTGTAGGGATTTTAAAAGAGCAGTTTGTAACTGAAACCACTGTTGCTTTTGATACAAAGCTCTGTCCTGACCCTGTTGGGATCTCCAGTGTGAAGGAAACTGCCTGCAGCCCCTTCAGAAGGTGTCCCAGCTAGGGCCAGCCAAGTGGCCAAGGAGGACCTGTGCTCACCACTCTGAGCTGTGGTCTTTCAGCCCTCAGCAGCAAAGGCTGTTCAGAGCTGAGCGGGGCTCTGTGTGGTGGAGGAAATGAGAGGATCCAGAAGACCATTTCAAGATGTGGAAGATCCTTCTCTTTGGAAAAAGGGGAAAATACCTTGTTGGCACCTATTGTAGTTATTGTGGTTCCAGAACACCAGGCAGTCCCTGCTCTTAAGAGCTTAGTTACAAATAACAGTATTAACAGTTATTACTCAAAACAAGATGCAAGGCAGCTCAAAACTAATGACAGCAAAACAAGTTGCCAAATTACAAACCTTGTGATAAGGCTTCCAACTTCCCCTTCACGTATTTCTTAATTTCCTAGTCAACTACCTTAGGTTGCTTGCTCTACTGCTTTTATTTTATTTATTTGGTGTTCTGTAATTTCTGTATGAATAGAAGTGCCTGAGGATACGAGGCTGGGGATACAGCTGGACAGACTGAGCAGGCACACAAAAACCCGATAGTTATTTAAGCTATAGACCTTGCAGATACATTGCATAGACCTTGTTGATGCCAAATGTCCACACATTCAGGACCTTTTGAAATTGTGGATTTGTTTTAATTACATTCGAGTTTACAAGTCTGCCTGTCAAACAACAGATATTTTTAGATTTTCCTCTGAAAGGGGAAGGCCTAGAAACTTCGGCTATTTTGTGTGAAATGAGAACCAGATTTCACTGGTGGTTCACTCTGGTAAGGTATGGGGCTTCAAGAAAAATACCAATTAGACCAAGACTTGCAATAACAAGGACCGGAGCTGGCAGTACAGTCTCCAGAGTGTCAGCATTTCCAGCACTGTCAGGCTACAAGCCTTGCCATAAGCCTTGTCTTCTCCTCAGCTGGTGGAGTTAAGGGACATAGATTGGAAAGTGAAAGAATATCATTTATGGCAGTGGTAAGAAAGTATAGGAAGATCTGCCAGCTTTCAGAACCTGTCTGGGTGAAGCTGTGGTTGCAATCTTGTTTATTTGGATATCATCAATGGTGTAATAACTGATTGCCAAAAGGTTTTAAGGATGGGACAAGGCTGCTACCAGGAGGCAAGCTGGGACAGAGGGAAGGCTGGGGAGAAGCACCTGCAAGAGTTGGGACAGGTGGTGTTGGAGAGGTCAGGGAGCATTCCCAAGACAAGAGGGAGGGGGCATGGCTCAGCCAGGGCTCCAAGCTTTGAAGAAGCTAGGTCGCCACTTTTTGTCTTCCCCAAAACTCTCTGCACCCACTGGGAACCCCAGAACATGGTGAGCTGCGCACTGGGCTGTCACTCTTCCACAGCAGTGCACCAAGAAAATCCTGCTCTTTTTCTAAACACGCTAGATTTTTGGGCTGCACCACACCCAGTGTCCATACTCACTGTCAACCTGCAAGGTATTGGACTGAAGCTGTGGGTGAAGTCGACCAAGTGACAAACTTTCACTCAGATTCTTGTTAAATGTTAAAACATTTACCAAAACCTGCAAGAGAATAAAAGAGTCTCAATAATAAAAAACAGTAATGAGAATAGAAGCCAACTTTTCGAGCATCTCTCTAATTGGTGGCTCCAACATCTGCAGATGCAGCAGGCAAAGATTTTGAACTGTTTACCAAACTGTATGAACTAATGCAGGGCTTCACACATACAGAGACCCTCGAAATAGGGCCTGTATATTGCTGGTGGAAAAGCAGCACCTTTTCAGGATTGCATGGGCTTTCTGTCACTTAGTTCCTGTTAAATTAGGAGAGTTGTGCATCTGGAACGTGATGTAATCTCTAAATACATGTTTGTTACAGCCAAAAGCTCAGCACGTGACTTCTGCAAATAGAGCAGTAGGAAGCAATGGCTGGCCTTAGTTTTGCTCTGATAATGCCTTCCAAAAGGTAAGGAAAATGGGAGCCAACTTCAGTTGTGTCTTTATTTTTGGCAACCCGTTGCTGTTGTGCGTGCAATCATGCTATACGCAAGTACTGTACCTCATTACAAATCATAGATTAGGAGGAGCTGCCCAATTTATAGTAAGTGCTGAGCAGGGAGAAATTCAGTCGGGAATGCACTAAAAGGAGCTTTTCATAGGGAAAAGGCATAAAGGGCTGCCAGTCTCCTGCAATTCTCTGAATACAAAATGTTCCTTTTTTCCCCTAATGATCCTTAAGATGAGCTTTGAATAGGTATTAGAATGACACAAAACCATTACAGATGCTTTTCCTCTGCAATTATGAGCGGTGTCACCAGGAAAGGTGCCAGAAAAGTAAACTGGTAGCTCTTAGAGATTTGAAAAACCAAATGTGTGGAACTGGTGACATCAAAGACTGAACTGGTAATCCTGTGGCCACCAGTTTCAACACAGCCTGGGACGCTAGGAATGGAAAGCCTGTACTGCAGCAGGGGACCCTGCTCAGCGTTGAGCTCAACAGCTTCTCTGAGAGGGCAGGTGCCTAGACACAGCACTGACCTGAACGATGCTGCTCAGGGCTTTGTCCCCGTTGTTAGCTCCCAGGGACAGGTACGTCCCGCACATCCCCTCGGACGGTCTCACGATGGTGGGCAACAGGAAAGACAGGGGCCGTTTCCCAGGCTGAAGGAGATTTTGCTGCAGTTGAAGAAAAGACAACACCAAAGAATTTCAACAAGCTGACTAAAGCTTTGCTGGTGCTCAAGTTGTGCGGGTTAACTTCTTACTCTTTATGTTCAGCCAGCAACTGCACTTGTGTAGTTTTACAAGTCTGACATCCTCACTGCTATGATAATGCTCTCTGAAGTTAACAGGATCCATCCCATTTCATGCCGTGGCTCTCTTTTAGAGAAGGTATACGGAGCCATTCACCCTTCTAAAGTACCAACCCAGCACAGTGGGAGGGTTTTACAATACATGGCAAGAAGAAACAACAAGGCAGCACTGGAAGCCACCAGTACTGGTCTGTAATTGTTTCTTTCCAAGACCTGAAGATTTGTCTTCCACTGTCTGTTACTTTTAAACCTGCAGAGCAGAATTTCATAAAGAGCCCTTAATTCAAGTCCACAGAAAAGGACAGTTGCTTTAAAGTACATCTGGACTGCAGGGAAAACAGGTAGTGGGATGTGCAGCGTCATTTGATAAAACTGCATTATGATGATAACTGATACACATGAAGCCTTCTGTTTACTGTTTCAGTGGCTCATATAATCAAAAGATAGGAGCTTTCTACAGGCTGTTGTCTCTCAGTTACTAATAAGGCATTAAAATAGCCCTCCTGATATGGAGATGAAAAAGAGGGTACAGACAGCTCAGATAAAGAATTTGTCATGTCATTCATTACCGGCCTGGGAATTGAGTGGTTCGTTGTTTTATTTTGCCAGGAGAAATCCAACATCTGGCTATTCAGGAGGACTCCAGAGGGTGTTATAATTCCACTGCCAAAGGGACGATTCAAAGAACTGAAAAGAAAGATTAAGAAATCTCCTAAAAATCCTCCCACAGACTTACTGTACACCTTGAGGCTTTCAGGGCTCCAATTTTCTGTCCCATCTTGGTTTGATAGAGACGCTTCAGTAGTTCTCTAGGGCTGGTTAGATGTGAGGAGTGAAAGTCTCCATTTATTTAGGGGCAGGACCCATGTAGGCTCAGTCCCTCCCTGTGTTTAAGGATTCTCCTCAGGGTGACGGATTTGTCCCCATGCCCCCATCAGTCCTCAAATTTGACCATCACCTCTTCTTCAGGGAGCAGATTCAGGCCAATCCAGACATTTTTCACTGTGAGAGGAGTGTAGGATTGGACAGGGCAGAGCAGCACCAGCTCACACATCTCCACTCTGTCTCCCCCACCCTCCTGTTGTAGGACTAACCAGGACAGAGCAGCCCAGCAGCTCCAGGTCTGGTCCCATCCTGTTCTATTGAACCTGCTTTCTTCTCCCTGCTCCCACCCTCTGAGTACATTATAGAGGGAAGAAGTAAATCCTTTACCTTACAACTGCAACAATGAAGTCATCGGGTCCCATGACAAGGACCTGGCTAGCAGCAGGTCCACTCTCCATGGAGAAGTGAGGCATATGGAGATCAGACGAGAAAGACTGGGAGTCGTTAATCAGCTGGCGCAGGGAATTAGCTTTTGATTTACTTCAGCGATGAGGGGGAGAAAGAGGAAAGAAAGCCATGAGCCCAGGAAGCTGAACATCTCTTGGTCTCCTGTTGGGAGCACATCTACATGACTACTGGCGGTGTCTCCCTGAGGGGGCTGGCACTGAGGACAGGGAGCTCCTGCGGTTCCTGGGTGCACTGCAAAGGCACCGAGCCCCACATGGGGAAGGGAGAGCCAGGAACTTGCACGTGTGGTCATGACCACGTGGATGGCCATTTGTCTGACCAGCTGAGAAGGAGTAATTAGAGGGGTGAGAAAATGGTCAGAACCCTCAAGATCAAGCTGGTTTCAGAAAACCTCTGTGTGAGGACATGCCACAACCCGTCCCCAGAGCCCCCTAGTATCAGCTGTGATCCTTGCGGAAGAGTGAGCCCTAGAGGGCTGAGCTCAAGGGCTGATCTTTCCTCAGTAAAAGAGAAGTAGAAAAACCTCAGGTTTCCCTGTGCACCAAAAAGAGCAAATCCAGGAATGATATCCAAACCACACATCTTGCAACTGTCACCATGCCTGTCAGCCTCAGACCTACCTCACCATGCCTTCTGCAGCGTGAGTGACGGACTCATCCTCAGATGGGTCTCCCAGGTTGCTAGCTAGACTCAGGGCTATTTTTAATGTCTAAATTGAACAAAGAAAGTAAGAAACACATTTAGGTGGCCCTGGAAATACAACTTTTGATACTCCAAACAGGAAGAGTTATTTGGTCTCCTGGCATGTTGGCTAAAGCCTATGAAGAAAAATGTCTAAAAGCCTGGTCCTGGGAATACCTCAGTGCAAAGAGCTGTCACTCGAGGCTATGGGGACCAAAGGGCAGCAGTTTGGCATGGCAAACTGTGCTGGGGGAGCCGAGTGTATCCAGCAGTGTTTGTACAAGGTGGAACACGCCTGGCAGGAGCTGATCCGCTGGCTCAACCCAGCTCAGTGGTTCAGCTGCATTGCCAGCTGGCAGACAGGGCCACCAGGATGCCAGTTACTTTCTATTTCCATTCCTGAGTGGTCTCCACAACATCAGAGATCACAATGAATCCCAGTGGGATGGTGGGTCCTGAGCTCGTCGTTGCCTCTGGACAGCAGCTCCACCGCCGAGCAGAAATGAGCTATTCTGCTCACCAGCTGCTACCCGTGTTCCTAGCTGTAAGTCACCCAAAGTGTTTGAGCAGAAAGCGTTAGTCCCAGCACACTTAAGAGAATGATGGTTTTAAAACAGGAAAGGATTTGGTTTTTCATACATGCAGAATCCTACCTAAGCCAATCCATCAAAAATAGGAAAAGAAGATGCAATTTCAAAAGACACAGTTTATCCAGCCCTGGTTTTACAGTGCGCAGCCAGAGGACAAAGAGAAATGTGCTCTTCAATTGAGCCAGCTTGTGCCCAGCAGAAACACACCAGACCTCCAGCTTGCAGGTCATGGCGTTTTCACTCCAGATTCAAGACAGCACCTCTTTTACCTGCAGGTAGACAGCTAGATGCAACTTCTGTTTTATGTGTCCTGGTTTCACTGGGATAGAATCATAGAATTAATTCTTGTTCAGAAAAGCTGCATTTTAAGAAGATTGCAGCACCCCACTGGGTGAGAACAAAGTTGATAAGACTCTTTGTTTTAGTCCGTGGCCAGCCATGGTGTGTGGGTTTCTACGGTGGTCCAGGTCTCCAGCAGTTCCCAGTCAGCCAGGTGCTGCGGCGAGGAGGAGCGACAGCCCGGGCAGCTGGCCCAAGCTGGCCACCAGCAGTTTCCATCCCAGAAACATCACGCTCACTAGGAACTGGGAAGTTTGCTGGGGACGTTCCTCTTCCTCAACGGCTGCCATCCATGGAGGGTCTCACCCATCTTTCTGGCTTGCTCTCCCACTTGTGACCATTGTGTTTTCGTTGGCTGAGTATAACTTTGTGTATTTTATATTAGTATTAATATTAGTTATTATTATTATTTCATTAAATCTGTTTTCATTTCAACCCATGGGTCTCCTTTCCTTTTCCCAGTTCCCCTGCCCAGGGATGGGGAGGTGTCACTGAGTGACAGAACAACTGCCCAAACCAAGACAGTGTGTCACACATCTACAGCTTCTCCTGAACTGTCATCACTTATCTTCTGATGTACAGTGTAGAACATGATTAACTTCTGGAGAAGGTGCTGTTTCCATGAAACAGTTTCCTGACCACCAAACCATACAGAGGATGTACAAGAGGCTTGGTAGCCTGGGAAGAGCTCCACTGAAACAAGCAGACCATGTCCACCCCACAGGCACAGGTTAAGGACATCTTGGTCATGGCTGTCCCAGGGCTGGACTATCTGGTACTGACCTAGCACTGTATCTCAGCCATGTGATCCCAAGTAATCAGGGTTACACATGTTCTGAAGTGACTGCCCTTCATCTGGAGGCCCCCTCAGCTGTGACATGATAACCAGTGGGTGAAACTCTTGGCCTGGTGCAAATGCAAACAGATTCATCTAAAGGTTCCTGAAGAGAGCTCAAAAATAACTTAGGTGAGTCAACCTTCTCTGCTTCTGCACAGGCCTAGCAGTGTGTAACACCTCCAGTTGTTGCATTTTTGATCAGAGGCAATGAATTCCAAGCACCCACTGTCCAGTCTACATGTAGTTACATCCTTGCTTAAAATTCCCAACTCACAAAACCCAGCTGTGGATCTGTTAAGCATCTAAGAACATAACTCTACTTACAGAGCAGGAAAAGAAACACTTGACTGACCTCCTGGGAAGCTGCAATATTTTGGTAGGGCTGACAGCCCTAAATACTAGAAAAAACCATGATCTGGACCACTGAGATCATAAAGTTGGCTAAAATGTAAAGATTTTTTAAAAAATATGAAGTGTTGGGTCAGTTTTCCCTGTCTTCACCAAGTATGTTTTTACTTGCAGCACCACATTGCTGACTCTCCTTGCAGTGCCCCAGTACAGCCAGGGCCACTGGAGCGTAAGGGATGGAGGAAATAGATGGGACTCTCCTCAGCTGCTGTGGGGTCATTCTGAAGCAATGATCACATACAAGAAATGGGTAAAAGCTGCAGCTTGTTCTTCAGATAAAGCTCTGCCTAAGCAAGAAAGAGCTCAGCTGAGCTGGAGGCTCCAGCATCTGCACCTTCCCGAGGCAGCAGCACAGCTCAGATCTACACCTTAGCAATCTATTTGCTCATTCTCCTCTGGGAATTACCTACAAACACTTTTGTACAACTAAGGAATAAATAAATTATTCTCTAGCAGCACAAGAAATTCAGTCAAATGTTGAACTTCCTCCTACCTCTGCCATCCAGTGCAAGATATTCCCCCTGGGTATTTGACTTGTGATGTTAAAGCCCTCAAGGATGTTCAATGCTGTGATCAGTGCAGGACCTGCATGGGGAGGTGGGGGACTGAAAACCAGATGACCTGTGAAGGGAAGAAGAGAGGAAAGAAACTGCATTTGTCAGATACTGTCCAACTATACTACTTTCCCATAAGCTAGTGTGCTTGAGGACAGGGAAACCTTTCCAGATTTGAGGTGAAATAATGGAAAGCAACTTGATTTGAAAAGGATTTCCCGAAACATTCCTGTTAGATCTTTCTGTTTCTTTATGATGGATGAAGGAAGCCCAAACAGGGATGCTTTTTTTACATCTGAAATTTAGTTCCTTTTGGTTGGGTGGCTGCCTTCTGCACTGCAGTTGTGGAAGAACAGAGATAAAATGGGTCTGCAACACTACAGCTATAAGGAGAGTAAATATAGGGATTTCTAGAAAAGAATGACATTTCAGGAACGTTTTGCATAAAGTAAGTTTTTCTCCCTTGTAGATCAGCTTTGGAACTGTCTTCAGATGTCGGTGCTAGCCTGTGGTCCCGCTTCCATCTGGACATTGCCTCAGTATGTGATCATGTTGCATCTTTACACTCTAACACCATCAAAATACCATTGGTCACTATCAAGTTTAAACCAGGCCCATTTCAAAGTGCTGAAAACCTCCTGAACTGCCTACGACGCATCAGTGTCAGCAGGCAATCGCAGGAAACTCTGTGGAGGACTTTTCTGCAGATGCATCAGCGCAGCTTTGGCTCCAACTCTGGTTAAATACTCTCACCACCTCTTGCCAGGTGAAGCAAATTTTTAACTGGAGTTGCATGGCCCATGGGTCAGGCATTTACCCCGATAGATGGTGTGGACGGGATTCTCCACTGTGGCACTGTAATTGCTGAAGTCTTCCTCCACCAAGACTCCTCCGTAGCTGTGGACCTGCGTAAGAGAGCAAAGCAGCGCAGACTGAGAAAGGTGGGTCAAGGCTTTCTGCACTCCTCATGCTGGCCCAGGTGAACACACACCACATTGTTAAACAAATACCATTGAGATTCCCAAGCCAAGTGCAGGGTTCCTCAGAATGCCCTGAAAATCTGAGCTTTCATGGCCTTGGTGGCCTGGCTCACCACTCACCACCACTGGAATGCTCTGCAGCTCACCTCCAAAAGCTCACCCACCCTAGCAGTGCTCTGAAGATGTTCTGCCTATCCATGAGAATTGGGGATGGCACTTCCTTGCAGCCTGGGTGGCAAGGATAAGTATGTTAAAGGTTATGAAGCATTTGAATACTGCCAGGATAAGAGATATATATGTATCCAAAACCATAGAATCACATACTGGTTTGGGTTGGAAGGGACCTTAAAGATCATCCAGTTCCAACCCCCCTGCCATCAGCAGGGACACCTTCCACCAGACCAGGTTGCTCAAAGCCTCATCCAACCTGGCCAAGAACACTTCCAGGGAGGAGCAGCCACAGCTTCTCTGGCCAACCTGGGACACTGTCTCACCACCCTCACACCAAAGAATTTCTTCCTCACATCTCATCTCAATCTACCCTCTTCCTGGAGGGTAAATTGAGGAACCTGTGGGTGTAGCAGGTCATCATCACTAGAAATCTTTAGGAGACAGTTCCCACCCTATTTTTAATTATTTCAGGTGACAGTGGCTCTGCTGTACCCTTGGTCTTTCTGTCAGGCTCTCCCAGAGGTACAATTTACTGGGCTTGGTAATTTTCATGAACACAGAAAAGATGGGTAATTCCCTCCATGGCAGGTCTTCTGTGGTTGAGTCATGATGGAGATGAGGTAGAACCATCATAAGTGCACTGTGCTGTCCTTAAAACCCCCTGAAGCAGGCAACACTCTCAGTCAACATACAGGTGCTACTGTGCTCATGGGCCAACTCTTTCCTTCCAGCCAGGAGAAGCCACATGACCTGGTGAGAGGTTCTGCTGAGGTGAGTTGCTGCTGTGCGTCCCCTGGATTTCCATCCAAGAAAGGGCAAGAAAAATAACCTGTGCATGCTCTGATTTTTAAACTTGACAGTTAACTTGGCAAGAAAACTCCTTCTCTGGCAGAAATGGATGAATCACTGGAGCGGGAAAGCTAAAGCAGGGCATGTTGTCGGGGGCAGCGCGTCAAACCATCCCAAAGGTGCAAAAGAAGGTGTAGCCCATACTTGGGATCCCTGCCCCCTTCCCAAAGCAGTCCCAGAGAACAGGCCAGGCTGAACCCAACCGCTGAGGTGAGTGGGCAGGTCCCCATGCCAGGAGCTGGCTCCCTGGAGCTTGGCCAGCAGAAAGTCCAGGAGAAGGAGTGGGGAGTGGGGCAGGAGGAGCCTGGCAGCACAGAAAGGGGAGAAGCCCTGCTCAGCCACACACTGCTGACACCATCTCAAATTCCCCAGAGGGAACTTTTTTGCACCAGTGCCTTCCTGATGAAAACAAAGGGAAGGATGTTTTGGGGCTTTACTTGATTTCACCACATCGATGCCCTCCCTTTGCTGGAACAATGAAGACTGTGGGAAGCTGGCACTTTGCTCTGCTCTGCAACCGAAGCTGGAACTGCACACTTCATCCCAAAGCTTGCCAGAGTCTTTGGTTTTGCAACCCTGGGCCTTGCTCCTCCATAGAGAGCTTGTGCTTCCCCACAGCAGCCCTCAGTTCAGGGGAATGGGGTGATAAAGCAGAGTTTAGCTGTGGAGATGCACTGTAAGCTTGGGACTTCTCCTGCTCCTTGTTCTCCATCTCTGCTGTGGTCCAGGTGAACCACAGGAGAAGGTTTCCAAACACAGAGCTCACAAATAATCTAAGGCTTGAGCTGAATGAGCCCATTCCAGAATACTGACGACATGTTGAAGGTACATCGCTTGAACCATGGTGGCAGGGAAAAACACTGCAGCTACACGGGTATAAAAGGTTGGGAGGTTTTTTACCAGAATAATTACTTTGTTTGTTGTTGCTATTTTTTCCAGAGCACCTCTAACAACACGAGTTAAACTGGGGCAACCCCAAGTGGGACCAAGCCTGTCTGCTCCTCTGCTCACAAGGCTCGCAGTTTTATTCTTAAATCATCTTCCTGGAGTCTCTATCCTACAGTCCTATCAACAACAAAAATCTGCCTCTCAGCAGTGAAGCACGTCTCATTACGGGGAAAAAGGGGTTGTCACTAATACTAACACAGCCCAGAGAGGGTCTTGAAATTGAGATATTTTTGCCTTTGAAAAAATGGTCTGTCCTGGTTATAGAAGAAACAGAGGTTTCACTTCTGTAGGCTGTGGAAGTGACCTGTGCATCACTTACACCACTGCAGTGACATGGACAGGAAAGAAAAAGGAGGCTCCATGCATTTGTCCCCATCATTGTGCTGACACCTGGCTATGGCTTATCTCCAGGTTGTCACCTTAAGCAGGTGATATGGCAGGTGGCACCCCCAGCCCAGGCTGTGCGGTGCAGTCTGGGGCAGAGACAGGGACAGACATGGCTCACCTCAGAGATTATCTCCTGGGTCAAGTTTCCGCTGTAGAAAGCTGACACCCCTTCTGCCCCAACCAGCTCCAGGATGGCTGCGAGGTCCAAGCGCCGGACGAACATGCCAGGCAGCAAGGGCTGCCCGTCTGGCAGGAAAAGCTCCCGAAATTTGTCGGAGTAGTTCAGGTCCTTCAGTTCGCTTACAGCTTTGGCTGTGGGCAAGAAGGGGAAGGACATCCAGAAAACCCAGGGTGCAGGAAGGGGCAGGGGACCTAGAGTCACTGTGCACCTGATGGGGATGTTGGAGACTTGCTGTTGCCTCTTGCCCTATTTCAAAACTAGGGGGAGGCTGGATCCTGCATCCATTAGAGCTGGGAAGGAAACCCAAGGAAATCCAAGCGCCCTTCCCTGGATGGCCCTGGGCATCTGCCCAGTGTGGGCTGCTCTGACCTGTCCCCAACCAGCCCTGGGAAAGGGCTCCAGTTTTGCTGCCACCACGCTCTCCCCTTGCAGACCACATGGCTCACACCTTGCTCAGCTCCCAACACCATCCACCTCCAGGTCCAAGGAGCCCTAATTTCTCATGAATAACCATCTACCTCCCCAGCTGCCTCGCACCCAAGCACAGTGGCCAGTGTGCTGTTCTGTGCTGAGCAGCCACCCCTGGCTCCCCATCAAGTACTCACCCAAATCGTGTGTGACATTAAACCCCTCCCGGGCAACACCAGCTGTGAGGCCCAGCAGCTCGGACCACGGGAGTCTGCCAAAGAAGAAAGGACAAGGAGAAACGAGCCCTGGAGCAGGGCAAGGTTGTGGGAAGTAAGCACAGGGCTCAACTCTGCAGTCAGCAGGCTCCTGAAAGACCAGACTGTGGGGCCAGAGGTGGCCAAGAGGAGCACCAAGCTTTCAGTGGGTTGGTTTTTATTTTTTTTTTAGCAGGATCATCTCAGTGCTCCATGATGTGCACCAGAGAGTAATGTCAGTGCAAGGACAGGGGAAGGGGCATGTCTGGAGCAAAATCTCAACCCAGGCCCTGGCCCTAAGCAAGTCTTTCAGATTCCTCCCTTGCTGCCCCAACAGAGCGTCAAGAACAGCCACACTTCTTAGGGTCCAGCTAAAGGGAGAATGAAAATGCACAGACATGCATGAAAATGTTCTGTGCCTCTTTCTAAAAGAAGATTTATTGTTCATCTTGTTAGCTAAAATTTCGCTTTGCAGAAAACCTGACCATGCTGAATTCTTTATTTTGTTAAATGAAGTACCAAAAAACGAACATATTTTTCAACACAAGCCTCCAAGCACCTCTTAACTAATGGTTTTGACTGGTGGCTGAGACCGTGGTCTGATGGCACAGGGTCGTGTGCTCCCAGCTCCCCTGGGGGGACCCCAGGGCACAGCCTGTGCAGCACGATGACAGCACGACCATGCCAGCCTCATGTCTTACCTCCCGTGTAACTGGTGTGCCTGGTGCATCCCTTGTATCATGCCTGGCACCCCCACGAGCAGACCTGGCTGTAAAACAGAAAGGACAAAAAGGAAAAGGACATGGAACATAATCCCAAATTGCAAGTCAAGGAGATGGAAGTCACAGTCTTTAGGAGAGGGGAAGAGGTCTGTAGCAAGACACTAAACTAGGGAATAAAAGGTTTTGGGAGGAAACAGGCAAATTCAATCCTGGTCTCAACCCAGCTTGGTCAGGAGAAATAACTCAGCAGAACGACATGGGATTGTGCTCCTTCCTGGGACTCTTGTTCTCCCGGCTCCCCACTACCGGAGGGACGTGCCTCTCTGCTCCCCAAGCCCTGCAGGATCCAGGCATTTTGGGGCTTCCAAAGAAGTATTTTCCCTGGACTCCTCATGTCCGTAGGGCTCAGGGCCTCCCATGGTGGGAGAGGTCTCCTGTCTCTTCCCTGGGCACCTGCCCCTTGGCCTGAGAGCTGCAGGGAGAGGAGAGCTGGAGACATCAGCCAGCTACAGCCCTGGAAGGGCTGGCATGGGACACTGGTCCTCACCTTGGTGTCCTGCAGGTCCACCTCCAGTGGGATGCCCAGAGGAGCCACTTCACGGAAGTCAACCACCCAGCTCCTGTTCTTCCGGATGTCGTGGACCAGCATCACCCCACCCCTGCAGGGAGAGGGGGGTCACAGCGTGGCACTGGCTTTCCCTGCAACAGCCGCTGCCATAAAGCCAAAATGAAGAGCTCAGGTGCCACCGGGGCCAGGGCCAGCCCTGATGTGACGGGGCCATCATAGCAGGCCACCAGCCCCAGCAGTGACCCAGGGGTGGCCAGTGGCACATGGGGACACTGCTGCCCTTCCCCAGGGAGCAGTTCGGGATGAACGGGCCCGGGCCAGTGTGGGACAGAGGCAGCCCCTGCGCTGAGCCTGCAGCGAGGCTGGATCAGTCCCTGCCAGCCTGGCCAGAGGGCCACTGGCTCTGTTCCACTGCCAGCCTGGGACCATCTGGGATTTTCTTTCTAATCCGAGCAGTTTTGCAACAAAACAGGGGTTTTGCTTACAACAGTAATCCATGGTGCAGCCTGGAGAAGCTATCAGGTGATGGTGTTTTATGCAACACTCCTGAGACCTCCTGCAGAGCCAAGAGCACCAGGCTCACGTGGAGGCCACCCCTTGCCACTGTGCCTCCCCTGGCTGCTGCCCGGAGCCGGGCTCAGCCTCAGCCTCCTGCTGCATCATGAGCAGAGCTTATGGAGGGAAGCACCAAACCTCTGAAAGCGCTGGGACTGAGCCAGGGTGTTGCAAGGTCCTGGCACGCTCGCAGAGGAGCTCAGCAACCTGTGGTCACTTTTTCAACCTTCTTGAGCCTGAGGCTTGGACTTTCCTGGCAGCCACTATGGCCGATGCAGCTTTTCTCTCCCCGGGGGCCTCCATCCCTCACTGTCATCTTGGTGCACACGAAGGGTCCTCATCCCTGTGCAGATGTGGACACGTCCACAGCTTGATGTCAGAGACCCGATACCATGCACTGGGACTTGGGCTACCATGAGGGCACATCTCAGCTGGTGGGGAAACCACCTTCTTGAGGACAGTTGCAGACAACTGCATGGAGGTGAGCCATCAATACTTACCCGCCAATCCCTGACATGTGGGGGTTGACAATTCCCGCACAGAGGGCTGAGGCGATGGCCGCGTCTACTGAGGAGCCCTGCTTGTTGAGCACCTCTATGCCCAGGGCCGTGCAGTGGGCAGCGTCTGTGACCACGGCACCACGGTGGAAGATCTGCCAGAAGAGGAGAGTGGTTGTGCCTGGGGAGAGGTGTTGGGGCCACCCAGGTCTTCACCCAGCTCTGTGGGACCTGAAGCCTGAAGCCAGTGCCAAAGCTGCGGCTGATCTACATTTTCAAGTGCCTCCAAATGCAGGTGGGGGTAACATGTCCCTTGGCACGTCCGTGCAGCAGGGTGGCTGTGGCTGCTCTGCATGTAGCCATGGCCATCAGCTCGGCCAGCTTTCCCCAGTAGACACACTAAGCTGGTGGGCCACATCTCACCCTGTCCTCCACAGCCCCAGAGCAGCGTTGGACTAATCCTCAAGAGCAATGGGTGACAGCACGCTGTCCCCGCACTGTAGCGATGGGGTCACTGGAAACGGGAGTACGGCTGCAACAAATGCATCATCCCCCCCAGCACCATGGCTTGCTCTGTCCTTCCCTGGGGCCAGTGCTGGCACAATCACAGGAAGTTTTAGAAGGTTCATTTTAACCCCATGGTACAAATTGCAGCATCTCAGCATAAGCCAGGGTGGCCTTGGGAAGCACAAAGACGGGAGGGCCACAGCAGGCTGGCGGGCAGGACCAGCCCTTCGCGATGCCACGAGCAAGGCTGTTTCACGGCCTCCCTCCAGCGCTGCACCACAGCCAGACGCGAGGCTGAGCCACCCCACTCCCAACGGCTGCGTCTGCACACCAGTGAGAAAGCAGTACATTTTTAAAAAGCCAAGCTGTTTCATCTGGACTTGCAGGCAGCTCTGCCCTTCTGTGCAGCATGTGCAGATGATGATGGGGACTAATGACAGCTCCTGGGCCCTTCTCAGGCTGTGGTGGATGCTCCCCCAGGAACTGGTCTCCTGACTTGGCAGGAGATGTTCTGCAGGAAGGTATGACCACATGGCCATGCTGCCTTTGCTCTGCAATTTCGCACTGGTCTGTGGGACAGATTAGCAGGAGGTTCAGCTCTGTTTCCAGCTATTCCCCTGCTTGATCCTGGATGGATCCTTCCAGAGGTGAGCCTGGGCATACAGATCCATAAAACTCTCTCCAAGTGGAGATGTATGAAAGACAGCCACTGCTGAACTAAGCATTGCTTTCTGAAAGTGTTCACACCTGCCTCAAACCACGGCTGGAGACAGAGCAGCAAGGCTGCCTGTTTCCCCCTGACCAACACCACCAAGCCTGCCGGGCACAGCCACCCACACCCCGGGGCAGGTGCCGAGAGCCCAGCTCACCTCTCCCAGCACAACCCCCAGCTGCAGGAAAAAGCTTTTGAGACAATCTGGGGTCACCCAGAATCTCAGTGATGCCAGCCAGGGCTCACCAGCACTTACCCAGCTAAGCTGCTGGTAAAGAGGAAAGTTAGGGAGCTTCTCCTATTTTCAGAGCCAAAACCCAACTGCAAAGGCACTGTTTCGTCTTACCTGAGGGTCCCCAAAATAGATCTGCATGATCAGAGCCACCGTGACCCCCGTGGCGAAGGTCAGGCAGGCGGTGATGATGACAGTCAGCCCATCCTGCCGGCAGCTGCAGTCTCCAGAGAAAGGGTCCTTGCTGGTCTCCTGGAGAGGGGACACGTCCTGGCTGCCCATCTCTGATGAGGACGAGGGCAGGCGCTGGAGACGCGCAGACTTCAGGAAGGAGTCTGGGTCTTTGTGGGCAGCAGGGAGAAAACAAGTGTTAGTTATTGAGCAACACGGGGCTCTTATTGCGGTGTTTACCGAGCACTATAACATTACACCGTGCCCCTTCCAGCAAGGCTATTACCTCCCTCTCAAGAGACTTTCTGGCTCAGATGCTGCTTTAGGTCATTTTACTGATCCCTTCCTTTAGCTCTAGTTATTCCAAACTGACTTCCCTGGAGATTAAGAGGGACTAAAAAACCTGGATTTTGCTCCATTTCAGTCCATTCATCAGTCTTCAGCGATGGGCCCAGTTACTGCTCCGTTTAGACTTGCAAACAGGTCTCTGAAATGCAACAGGACTGATGAAGAAGAAATTAAGATATAAAAAAAAAAAATCCAGCAGCCTCGTTTGGAGCTATGCTTGAGCTAAAGCACCTGAGCAGGATAGAGGTGAAGCAAAACGTGTGGCCTGGGCAGAGGAAATACCTCGACAGAAGCATGGTAAAGCAGGGGCAGAGAGGAGCAAACCTGCAAACGGAGGGCCCTGGGTGTCCACCCGCTCTGATGGCAGGAAAGGCTCTGCTTCCAGTTCTTGCTTCCTCCAGCTGACGAGGCCCACTGTGAAATCAAGCTGCTTGCTGAACACCCAGCTGCGAGATGGCAAATGCAACGGGGCAGACAGACTTCTGCCGGCCGGCAGACAACGCTCAGCAGGATGAAAAAGTCTCTCTTTTGCTCGGAAAGACGCCTTGAATCGCTGCTCACGTCAGCTGCTGTCTGTGCGGTGGGGAGGACAACGGCTGAGCGTGCCCTGCCTGTGCACGGGCACTGCTGGGCACACGGAGCTGCTGGTGCAGCTGTGGGGACATCCCTGTCCCTGCCGGGCACCAAATGGGACCAAGCAGTTCAGGGCATCATCCAGGGCTCCTGAATGAATTTTTTCAGAGGCTGCTCAGAGCCAGTGGGAGCCACGGTGCCCCACACACCTGTGGTGGGAAGAAGAGGAGCACCAAGTGGAAAAGACAAGACAAGAAGCTTGTCCCTTCACTCAGGGGACATTTCCTGCGTGTGAGGTAAGGGACAAGGGACTGAGCATGAAACCCCACATTCCCCATCACCCTGCTGTGCCTCTCCGTCTGCTCTGGCAGGCAGCATCTCCCTGGGGACTGCCAGCCCTGTCCTTGCCAGGACCTCCAGGGTGCAGCTCCCTGGGGCCAGGCAGGGAGTTAGTTTTAATTTCAGTAATGCTGCACCCAGGATTAAACCCACCCGCAGGCAGAGAATCCCCTTAGAGGGAATTTAATCCCGTTCATGCTGCTGTGATTTAGGAGCACAACTCAGGAAGGCTCAGCTTTCCCAGCCTGTGCCTCCGAGCACACGCAGAGCCCCGAGCCCCTCACCGCCACGTCTGGTCTGAGTGAGCCAGGCCGGCAGTGTGCAGCCAGAGCAGGAGGCCTGGCTGGGGGGGCAACGAGACGGGGTTCCCCGGTGGGGGCCACGACGGGCTTGGCAGGGGATGTCACATTGGGGAGGGATGTCACATACAGTCCCTGGCACCCTCTTAGTGGGGCACCAGCCCCACCAGTGCTGAAACAATGAGGAGCAAGCTGGGCTCCTCTGCCAGGCCCCACCAGGATGGCGTCCCTCTGCTCTGGTCCTGTAGCACTAGTGACAGGCCAGTCCAGCACGAGGGGACATGGCCATCCAGGGAGCAACCATGGGAGAGGACAGGCCATGGCCCCACCCACACTGAAGTCCCTTTGTTCTCTGCCACAGACATCCCACATGGCCTTGGGCAAGTCACTTAGTCTCTGTGACCCCTGGTGCTGCATGGGTCAGCAGGGCTGTGGTCTGGGGACAGGAGAGGCTGGAAAGGGTCAGTCAGGAGCACAGATGGCAAGGGGCAGCCTGCGAGGCCAAAACCCAGGTGCCCATCCCACCACCAACATCCACACTTGAAAGAGAAGCCACCAAACCCCACTTGGCTTCTGTGGGGGCCATGAAGGAGACCTGGCTTCACGGAGGAGCCAGCGCTTTGGGGAACCAGGGCCACCTCAGCTCTGGAACAGCTCCAGAGGGGACAGCAGAGTCTGGAGCTGCTCGTGGGCTCTGGCAGGTGCTGCAATGTGGGACCGTTCAGTCCTTTGGGGGTCTGTTCCCAGCACTGCCAACACGATAGAGGCTTCCTGCTTTTAATGAGATCTTCTACGTGGTAGAAGCCAAAGGTCTGAGTTCCATCCCTGCCAGTGTGGCAGATAACATGGCACGGAAAAGCACAGCAGTGTTGGATGAGTGCGAGTTTCCACGTGGAGGGAGAGGAGCAGTCCCTCCAGCCACCTCACACACGGGCACCTGGGAAAGATCGAGGGGCACCAGCACAGCCAAAACTGCACCAAACTGCTCGTGCCCCGCACGCGAGACGAGAGGCCTCGTGTTTTCGGAGGCTGTTCCCGCAAACCTGCACGCGGCGGCTTCGTCCCAACAGCGCAGGAGAGCCCGGGGCAAGAACGGGCAACGGGAACCTCACCCGGCGGTGACGGCAGGACGGGGCAGAGGACAAGGGGACGTGGGGCCAGCCCAAACATGAGCCTCAGGGTTTTGGGGTCAACAGGGCAGAGACCTGACAGGGCTGTGAACCAGC